CCTGCCACTAGTGACACATTTTATCCAACAGGGTCACACCTCCTAAACCTCTCCAAATTGCTCCGTGAACCAAGTGTTCAAGTACAGGAGCCTCTGGGGGACAGTTTCATTCAAACCTTTGCAATGTCATCTTTCAGTTCCTTTTATCAACATCTCTGCTGCCTTTGAACTTCTGAGCATCCCTCCCACTGGCTGGAACACTCTCCCTTCCTTCTTCTCCCAACCCTGTATCTTGATCACGTCTAGCTCCTTCTCTTTCTGCTTTGAGAAAAGACAGCACCATTCACTCCCACCATATGACCTTTGTAAAAGTTCTCATGGCATAGCTTCTGGGGTTGTGTTGTTGTTGGGGCTGTTGCTGTTGTTCTATCTGCTCTCCCCACTGGGTTGTAAACTCTGTGAAGACAGGGATTGTCTGTCTTGTTCTCCATTAAGTTCTCACCACCTCATACATGGAAAGCAAAAAGTGGAAGGAATGAAGAAATGAGCTATATACAAGCGCCTCGGTGTTCCAGAGGCTTCAGGAAGCTTAGCAAAACTAGCCAAGGAGCTTATTTAAACTACACAATTTTAGGGCATTGCACACACGCTGGCCATCTTGGCATTCAGGAAGCCAATGCAGAAGGATCTTGAGTTCAAGGCCAGCCTGAGATATTTAACCAGACTGTCTCTAGGTAAACAAACAAACTACAGAATCTCAAACTCTCTTTCTTAACTACAGTCCATAAACTCAGATTCTAATGTATCATATCAAGATTGGAAAGGGGCAGAGGACCATGAGTTTGCAACATGCCGTACATAGTCCTCCATGTTCTGGCACATGCAATAACCATAATTACTGTGGGAAGAAGAGAAACCACAAAAGGGGAAAGTTCCCCAGTAGATTTATGCTGGCTGCTGGAAGGCCCCCCACTCTGGGTGCATCACTCCTATGCTTTATAATATCCCTATCTCTTCCACTGAAGGTTCTTACCATCAACAACCAGACCTGCCAGCCAATCTCATGCAGTCCCTGGGCCTCACTTGTAGGCGACTCTCTTTCTCATTAAAACTTTCTTAACCTTCAATCTTCTTTCCCTGTATCACAGAGACTTTCAATAATTAAACATAATGAAATATTCTATTTGAAGAGGAGCTGTAAAATGAATAAAATAGAAAGGTAAAGTTACTTTTAACAAGTAATTTGAAATTAAATGGTTTTTTTTTCATCAGCATAAAATGTCACTCATGACATGAACTTGAAAGCTTGGCCCCCAGATGAAATGTTTGGCAAAAGCTTTCCCACATCCAACCTACAAAGTCCCTACCTATCATTAACTGCTCATAGCATTTTCAATAATCTCTGCTCTTTCTGTTGCTATCTGACCAAAAGCAAGTCGGTGAAGAGGGGGTCTTATTTCAGCTGACACTTCATCCAGTGCTGGACTGTGATGGTATGTTGTGCCCTCCAACATCAATTAGTAATAAAGAAAGTGCCCCCAGGCAATCTAATGGAGACCATGCCCAAATTCAAGTTTCCTATTCCCAGATGTGCTAAGTTGACAACCAGCACTAGTCATCACTGTCTTATTAAACAAGAACAAATGAGGATGCCGTAGAGCTGGAAGTGAGGGGGACAAGTTAAGTGTTTGAAGCACTCTGTATTCCTTTCTTTAAACCTGACATTCCTCCAGATCTCTTGCTTTGGGGTAAATGCTCTGGGCAGTTCTGAGTGTCATTGTCCCCAAGAGTTCAACCTGAGCACTAACCAGTGACTAAGTTATGTCCTCTCCAGACCTAGATAGGATTGACATGAATAGATACACTTAAGGGAGTGAGAAAGTTAGGATTTGAAGTGAAAAGATTTCAGGAGAAGCAGCTGAAAAACTATTAAACAATCATTTGTAATGCTTCAAGACGAAACATACCTAACTATACCCACAGACAGGCTGTCACAGGGAGAACGGGATGGAAATGTGTCTTCTGAATCACACATTGGCCCCCACTGGGCTAATTTCTACTAAACAACATCCTTTTTGTGAAATCAATAACTTGTTGATACCCAGAGTGACACAAAAGGAAAAGATAAAGGGTAATCAAAGAGATCAAAGCTGAAAAAAAAATAATCTCAATTTAGGATTGTATGATCAAATTCCATAATCTCTCTTGGCTTCTGTTTTGTACTTTGAAAACCGGTAACTGTATCTACTTGCAAGATTAATTAGATTAGGCATGCTAATAAAAACAATAAGGAAGCGGCAGATGGCCATTGTGCATGAGACTGTTTCCTACCTGCCCTCTCCATCACTCTGTGAATGCACAAAGGAAGCTTTCCCTTTAATTCTGCTATTCTGCCTGTGCCTCTTGAGTTTGAATTAGGAAGCTCTTAGCAACTGCTCCTTTCATAAAGCTTCCGCTTAAAAGTCATTTACACTGTCAGTGGGGATGCATGCCTATGATCTCAACATTCAAGAGGTGGAGGAGCATCCAGAATTCAAGGGCTGCTTCAAGGTACTTAGGGAGTTAAGGGCCAGCCTGGGCTACAGGAGACAGAGAGAGAGAGAGAGAGA